AAATTGCTACTGTAAGTGGAAAGTAAAGTTTAACGCTCTGCTGATGCTACTAAACTAATAGCAAATTATCGCTACGTCTTAATAGATCACAAACACTGAAGAAGTTGTTTTAAAAATTCCTTTTTATGTGGCCCAAATTGAACAAAAAGTCGCAACTTGTGCTACAGACACCGGGAAAAAAAACACTTATGGCTATTTAAATTAAGTATAACAGACAGGTAAATTCAAACACTGATAACGTTGTCTAAGACTAGACATAGAATTAGAAAAAAGCTGACTCAGTAATTTTACCGGCTAAGTTTAAAGCATCGGCTAACGAGAATGTGAAAACCGGAAGAGCAGATGCGATTGCAGATTTCCTTCTCAGATTCAAAACCCTCAACTTATACAACGAAAGCTAAATTTCATAGTGAGGAATATGGAAAGAAAAATTATAGTAAGAATAAAATCATAATAACTGGCTAAAGAACATAAGACACATTACGTAACAATTAAGAAAATAAAGACTCCAGGTTCCCTCATGAGCACCCTGTATATAAATTCGAAACGAAATTCCAAGCAGGTGAATTAAATTAATTTCAAGCTGCCTTATTTGTTGAAATTTGTTGGAAATTTTTGTTAGAACATTTTTTAGACGGATTGGCTTTGCTATAAAAACATTTCGCTTCCTTGGAAAATATTTTTTTATCTACAATTATATTTTTGAAAGTATAAATTATCATCTGCTATTCGACAATGTTGTTTTCAAGCAAAATGGCGTTTTTAAAGAAGCAATCGATGGAAGGCTATAAGAAAATTATTCGTATTTAATTATTAAACAATGCTGTGAAAAATCATGATTTTTCGGTAGCTAAAGCAACAATAGATAATATTTTCAATAAGAAAGGAAAACAAAAACGTCAAAGTTTGGCTTCAAGGAGAAAACTGTTCAAAATACATATCCAAGGAAAAAATGGAATGTTTCGAATATTAGAAAGGTAAGAACTTTAAAGTTAAAAGAAAAATCACCGAAGTCAAAGGACAGTTGCATAAACATTAAAATGCTCAGTGTCAATTGTAAACAACGTGATGAATGCTACGTAATGTTAAAAAACGTAACGTCTTTTTGTTCGACATATTGCCGAAAGCAGGACGCACTCCAAAATTCTATATGCGGAACAATTATTCGGACAGAAACGAAAAAATGTTGTCACAATAAAGTATATTTAAATGACCGCAATAAAAAGAGATCCCTTTATTATCATCAAAGAGAAGAAAAACATTTTAGAACATAGTTCAAAGACTCTAAAGAAAGTTTTTCAAAGGAATTTATGATCGCTGCCTGTTTTTGATATAACGAGAACAAAAATCAAAGATAGAGCAGAAAACTGGTAAGGTCAATTCCACGTATCATCAAGAACATATTTATACCCAATTCTCAAATATGAAATACCTTCTCTTTTCCCACAGTGCCATCAATCAGTGCAACTGCTTAAGACAAAGCAAGCAGCCGCACGTCAAAATCCACTGTTAATTTCCTAGGAAAAATAGATCAAGAAGAGTGTATCAAAGCCATACCCTTCACTCATGTCCCTACTAAATCTCCTGATGTATTATCAACCGTTTTTTGCGCTTTTGGACGTTTTAAAAGCGGATTATCCAGACGTCGACCTACAACCCTTCTTCGACTTTGGAAAGCTGTTTAAGAGGAATGGGATAAAATACCTCTTCCGCTACTAAAAATAGCTTTACTGTCTTGGAAATTATGGTGTAAAAAGATAGTGAAGAATAAGGGTTATGAAATGGAACATTTAAAACACAAAAATTTCATGTAAAATAGTTATTTTTCTGAATACAATGAAAATCGTCTAAACAATGTGCGAACAGCCTTAGTAAATAGTAAAATAAGCTAAAATTCTGGTGCAAAAGTTTATTAATGTTAAATAATCTGGTAAACAAAAATTTAATCTTTCTCAATTGTCTTTTATTCTAATTTTCCTTCAATTTTAGTACTCCTCTAATTAAAAAGCAATCAGTAAAGGGTTCAGAATAGGATTAAGAATCGTAAAATATATCTCATATTTCAAAATAACCGTATAAAATTGCATCTAGATATAGTTTCGTTTCTTTATTTAAACTTAATCTTTAAATAAAGTATAAATATTGATCCATAAGTTGATTAGTTCCAAAACTGAAGGATTGAAACATTGCGCAGTTGAAAATAAAGCGACTTAGGAAAAAATCGTTATTAATTACTATTAATTAATTGATAATGATTAATTAATAATATTATAGATAGAATAAAAATATTATAATATTACAATAATAAATTCGTTCATTTAATTATAGAGCATATAAATACGTTTTTTCTCCTAAGGTAATTTGAAACGATCTCATACTTCATCTTATACGATGGCGTATATCTTTGCGTGTACACATTATCTCACGCTGTACATCTTTACGTGTACGTTTATACATCTTTACGTTTTGGAATAAATATTATAAATTTTATTAACTGGTTTTGAAAATTCATCATGAAAACTCCTGTGGGTTTTTATTAAAAGCATATAAATTATCTTAGATCTTGTGTTTTACAAAATAATAATAACAATAATAATAATAATTTTATCTCATACTCCAAAAGAATTTTTTTTCGAAAGATTTATTGTTGATACCTTAGCTGACAAAAAGTGAAAAAATATATTGCAATAATTTGATTCGAAACTAGGAAGACACAATATTACCATTAAAATATTCTAATAAGTTTATAGTATGTGCGAAACTCTTGAAGACCCAGATGATCTTCGCTCACAACGTACACTTGTTTAAATATTTCATGAAGTGGGAATACAAACGTATTTGACAACTTCTTTACAAAAGCAGTATTTAAAAGCGCTAATTAATTTTTTTAAATAAGAAGGAAACATAAGAACAGTTCCAAAAAGAAAGGAAGAAAATCTGAAAATATTCACATTTTAGATTCGCACCATAGGGTTTGTTAAGGTCTTTTATATTCTCGTTTTAACGTTGCAAGTTATTCTACTCTTGGACTTATATTCTGCTCTTGGATTCTCACCTGATATAACGTAAAGCTTTTATTTTTTTAACTTTGTTATTCAGCATCGGTTTCTTTACCCTTACGCCACATGAAATTCAAGAGAAGAATCACAAAATATCTAGAAACAGCATATTCTTAGAATTTCAGATCGAGTATTGGGGGTCGCCATACAATTTTTATATTATCTCTTTGAAAAATCGCTCGAGTGGTCTGCCGCCTAAAAATATTATCATGAAAAGAAAAAAATAGTATAATGATTTTAATGAATCTAACTAATCTCATTTCACAAAAATATATAATATTTCTAATTAAGACATCTCATGGAAGATCTGCTCTTTAGCCCAAAAGGGACATTAGTCCCGAACGGGATATTAGTCTTGAAACGGCATTTTGCGTCCAAACACTTAATGAAAGATTCTTCATGAATGTATATAAGTTTCTCGCATTGTGAAAAACAACGGTACTTAGAACCATCCAATTTTGAATAACGTAGTCCTCCACTCAAACATGTGCACCTAGAAGCCTGAATTTTGAATTTATTTTATTATCTATTTCGTATTTTGAAAACTTTTAACGAATTTCTGATTAACAAACTCAACGATTTCAAAGCGAGCACTGTACGGAAAAAAAAAAACATTTTCATCTCCAGCGCGCGAAATTGTCTATCAGATTCTAAAAATATGCTGTCTTTAATATTTTGTGATTTTGCTCTTGAATCAAATTTTATGTGGCCTAAAAACCAAGAATGTGATATTTAATAAATAAAGTAAACACACAAAACGTAGTAATAAAATATGGCTTTACAAAGAGCTAAAGATTACTAAGATGGCGTTACCAAAAAAATAAAAAACAAAAGTCTTGTGAAGCCAGCTTAGTAAGAAGACTGAAAATTAATATGATAAACTGAGAAAGGACGGAAAAAGACAGAAAATGTATGACAGCACTTAACGCACGCCGCATCGAGAATTGGAAATACTGCTTTTAAAATTTTTTTAGTTTTGCTGTTGAATTATATATGGCTTAAATGCGAAGAAATTGATGCTTAATAATAAAGCTAAAAAGACAAATGAAATGTTATTAGGAGTGCGTGCAACAGCAGACTCGTAGGCTGCGAGCTCAGCAAGTGAGTAAATACCTTAATAAACTCTTTTGGGCGATGTCAAAATCTGAAATCTTTCAGGTTTTTCACAAGCTTTTGTTGTCTTTCAGTCACTTCATTTGCTTTTCAGTAATAGAAAGATTAAATTTAAAAATTAAATACCTTACAATTTAGTGACTGCGAACACTCTGGAGCGTAGTGGCAACACATTGCTTTGAAAAAGCTGAATTTGTGGATTAAAACTAAAAGATAAATATTTTACATTTTGCCAAATGGCAACAGTCTAGCGCATTGTAGATAAAAATGTTTTATTTAGGATAGTGTTTCCACTTCCCGGTTTCAAATCACTGACTTCGTTAAACTTAAACTCGCTATTTTGTTTAAAATATGAAATAAATCAAAATCAATATCAAACTCCAAAATTCATGCTTCGAAGTGCTCCTCTTCGAGTGGAAGACTATGTGTATTAAACATTTGGTGGTTTTAAGTGCCATAAGTTTACCGCAATACGAGGAACAGTCATACATACATACATATAGTTTCTTCATTCTCTAATTTTTTGAAAAATAATACATCGGAATAACATTTGGTAGTGGCAATTTAAAAAGTGATTTGAACACAAAAGTGATAGGGACAAAAACTGAGTTTCGATACCAACAGCTCCTCATGTGCTAATAACAGATCTTTCTGATGTCTTCCTTCTGAAAATTTGTTTAACTACCTTTCATCAAGTTTTTGACACCTTTTTTTAAATAAATTTGAAACATGCATTTATGAATAAAACTTTTTCTTGTATTTTATTCTTAAATATTATTCATTATTGCCATATTTATCAGTCATAAAAGGAATAATACAAACACTTACCTCTTGATATCAGCTTATCTTCCTTAACTTCTTTTCCCTTATTGGAATCCCAGTATTGCTTCTGGATGAATGCTCCCATTCTTCTACTGACTTCACTGATATTCGATGCTGCAGCCGAAATTCTTCGAAATTCAATCGGTTGAATTCTGTTTGAGACTTCTGAGCTGCTTTCACCATTCCCTTGGAAAAATCCACTGATTTGACTAGTTTTAACCGTTTCGGAACTTTGCGCTGTAAAAGCATCACTCACAGCGTTTGCTTTTTGTTGCATGCTAGGCATATTTGCTGTAGTAACATCATCACTTCTTAAAGGACTATGATCTGTATTTGGAGTTAAGGACACATTTTCCTTACCCTCCGTGTTGGCAGATGATTTATCTTCACTGGAACCTGGGCTACTTACAGAATCACCTTCAAATAAAAGTTTTCTAAAACTGTCCTTAAAACTGTCCACATTCTTTTTCAGTTTTTTGATATCTTCACCGAAAGCTTTTATAGCTGCTTTCTCCTTTGCAACATCAGAACTGCCATCATTTCCAATCTCGTGTGGAGTTTTGATAGCCTGTTCTAGAGTCCTAATGGTTGATGAGACTTCGGGTTCAAGAAAGGTATCATTAATACGTGTGTTATCAAATACACTATTTTTTTCTTTTGTTGCAGCCTGAGAGTTAGACGCAAGTTGAGCACCATTTCTGACCGTGAGCTCTTCAATAAAATGTTCGGCGTATGAAGATCTTTCACTTATCGGTTCCTGCCCTTCTGAAGTAATGTTATCACTTTTAAATAATTTGTGCGTATAATATGTGACAGAGTCATTCGAAACAGCGTGAATGTCTAAATTTGAATTTATCACATTACTATCTTCTACAATAGAACTGTCTCTACTGGCGAGATTAGTTACGTTTATTGCAGTAGAAGAAGAAGCAGCATTTAAGGTGTCAAACTTTGATGCTTCAGAAACATTGAAACTTGGCACAACTGTAGCAAAAGTGCTAGAGTCCATCGACGGCTTTGATATGTTATCCTCCGGGCCAATTGCCAACACAGGGCTCTGCAGTTGTTGTCCAAATTCTGTTATGGACCTCGTTCCTACACCTTGTGTTTTAAGAGTCACCAACAGAAACATTGCTCCTAAACGGAGAACTATTCTCCTATGAACCAACATATTTAACCAGTTTAATATTTGTCTATAAAATAGCCATGAAATTAAAGTTTAGGGAAAAACTGGTAGCAAACTAAAAAATACAGTCCCATTAGATGTTTCAGATGGCATTAGATGTCTGCGCATTCATTGCTTACTAGAAAAATTCTAAAACTCGCAAAATATTAGCCTCAAAACAATAAGCATTATACATTAAGCAATTTTTTTAAAAAGTGCATATGTAGCGGCTATTCCTAATGGCTAAAATCTGTTAACTTTACAAGCTGTTTCATCCGATTAAGTGCATCCAGTGTATGCAAAGTTCGATAAAGTTTCGAGGGGTCACAAGTTTGGGTAAACGTAATTACTAAAATATTTCTTCTTTGCACATATCTCCTCGTGCGGACATTCCAAGAAGTGATCTGAGTTATGTAAGCACAGGAACTCACTCGAACTTGCTGAGAACACGTGCTGCCAGAGGGAAGCTCCGAATACCAACTGCGAGCACAAACTACAAAAAAGCGTAAACGCGATGCTTTTCCAAAAGGCCTCGGGCCACTAATTCACTTTCGTTAAGATTTAAAAAAAATAAAAATAATCAAAACAAGACGAAAACCAAAAGTAGAACTTTCACCGTTTCTTTACCCGCCACTGTTGTTGAACGACCGCCATCCTGACCGCCATTTTCTTCCTCCTAAGCGATAAAACGAATGAGTGCCCGCAGTTCTAGGACGCAAGTTCCACTTCCCGAACACTGGCGGGCGTTTTCATGATTTGCTTGTTCGAAAAAAAAAAAGTGCTAACCCCGAAGCCGTGGCCAGCATACCGATTCTTAATATTTTTTTAATCTCTTTCTTTTTTTGTTTTTCCTCCTTTCCGTTTTATGTATTTAATAAAAGCTCTCTGCACATGTTAAATTCCATGCAACATAACAGATTCTTTTCTTTACACCGTATTGGTATTAACATTCTTAAAAACTAAAACGTATCGAAAAATTCAATCGCTACGTAAATAGAATGCTTTACAAAAATTTACACACTTTTTGAGTCCATATTATACCTACTATATTATGCGTGCTTTTGACGTCTCTTGTTTTTAGTTCAATAACCAAAATTATAAAAGGACGATATGAGTATACAAATGATGTGTAAATTACATTTCACTCTTTTATTGACGCATTTAGGATTCTGTAAGATGCCAGTACTTACACTGTTAAAACATAACAAATAACATAAACTATTTGTTCAAGTAGAAAACTGTTTATTCTGTTAACTTACCTAACGCACTTTTCCACATGGATAAATTCATCAACACTTCGCAAAACCACGAATCTGAAATTTTTTGTTTATTTTTTTATTTACACTTATTCTATTTGATTTTATTTTTAATTTATTGTATATCTATATTTATATTTTATTTTTATTTTCTTTTCAATTATGTAAATATATTTTCTTATTTTTTTAATATTTTGCGCAATCCCAAAGCAGAGAAGAATATTTCCTTTCAGATACCCACAAAACAATTATATGTATAGTATGCCCTAACTCTTAGTCAAAATTTAATAGTTTCATCTTTAAATGCGTCTTTCAAATGCGCGCCTAAAATACACATAAAATTCTTCTGTGTTTCTGTAATATATATACTTACATATATAGAACATAAACTCTTAATTTGTTTTAAAATTAATTATTTGTCTAAAATGTGAAAGAAAAGAGAAAACATAATTTAGAAGAAAAACATTTTGGGTTTGCTATTGTAACTGGAAGCTAAAGACCTGCATATCTTACAAGACGAATAGTAATTCGTAGCTATATATTAAATAACCTTTGTATTTAGTCTTACATTGAACATAAAGGTACAACTTTTGTTTCAGACGATACTTCCACTACTAATGTATATTTAAATCAACATGACAGCAATTAGTTTCAATACTGATAAAGTATTCTCGAATTGCATATTAAGTAGACTAAAATAAGCTGACTCAGAATACTTTAGCAGAGCGTAATTTAACGCATCGGCTGGCGAGATGCTATGGTCGAAATATAACCTTTAAGCAAAGCTGTTAAAAATACTAACTAAAGGCGCTTTTATTACAAGCTCTAATCTAAAGATTAAAACTTTCAGCTTAAATTTAGAATTAGCTTCATTAAAGCTGATTTGCTTTCTGGTGAGTAATTCACAAAGGAGAAGTTACATTTAAAGTTTTAATCATAATAACTATTTAATTCACATAGATAACTTAAAATATACTATTCAACTATATTTTCTGAATTCTTGGAAAAATTAGTGTGAAAGGTTATGTATGCTCTTTTTTAGAATTGAAAAACGAGGGTAAGCATATTGTCGTTAATGATTATGTCAATAAATATTCTGGGGAAAACTAAGCATTCTTTTATATATTTTTTCTTTTATATATTAAAATACATTTCAGTTTCTCTGCAACTGTATTTAGTAATAAGGAGATTCGCGAGGTATCAGAAACAGGGCTAGCACTGAGAATTTTGTCATACGGTACAATCTCTGCGAATATTAATTCTTCTACTCGACGCCTCCTTAAAATTAGATCGCCTTTTAATTCTGTTCGCCAATGCCTTCGTTAAAATAAAAAAAAATCATATTCTTAAATATTACTGCACGTTACCTATCTAAATTCTAAAAATCTTGCAGCTCCTAAATTCCGCTTTCCGGTGCGACCGCACCGGTTCCATTGGCTTTAGCCCGGTACTGAGAAGAGAAAAAAATTGCTCCATGAGCGGAAAACATTGTTGCTTCATGAGCATTTAAACGTATTTTATTCATCGTAGTCACATGCAGATATATAGGTATACAATTTCCTCATAAAGCTAAGTAAAATTTTAAACTTGGAAATTGCTAGAATGCTTTTCATTTTAAGCTCTAGAATGAAGAAAAATAATAATGTTTTAATTTTTGAACTGTACTGTAAAATGTAAAAGAATAATTCCTTGAAATATATAAAAATATTAAATTTATGAAAATATCTCAAATGGGCACAACATGACTTCTTGGTACAGCCTACTAAATTATCAAAAGTTTTGTTGCATTTCATTTAAACTTATTTCCTCGAATTATTATAACTAAATTAAACAATCTATCAAAATAAATTGAAAATAACATAAAAAATTGCAAATTTTGAAATTAAGTATTACGGTCAGTTTTTGTCTTAAAGGAGTTATTAAGGGAGTTTCATAACGATTTGTCTTAAGGGAGTTTTATAACGAGTGTAAAATTTTCCCAAATACACTCATATCCATAAATTAATGATAATTCAGAGTCACGCGGAAATC